CTCTGTTGACCGTTACTATGCAGTTTGTGACCCTCTGCATTATGTCACCAAAATAACTATCCCTGTGATAGTATTATTTTTATTAATTAGCTGGACTGTCCCATTCTTATTGGCTTTTGGCCTAGTTTTCTCAGAGCTGAATATTGATGGCATTGAAGAATATGTGGCTTCCATTGACTGCAGTGGTTTCTGTGTCTTCATACTTAACAAGCTCTGGGGAGTGATGGCTTCTCTTATAGCCTTCTTTTTCCCAGGCACAGTGATGGTGGGGATCTATGTCCACATATTTACTGTGGCAAGAAAACATGCTAGACAAATTGCTAAAATCCCCAGGGCAATAAAATGTGTCTCTGAAATGAAAAACAAAATCTCCACAAAAAAAGAGAACAAAGCAACTAAGACTTTAAGTATAGTCATGGGGGTATTTGTTTTTTGTTGGCTGCCTTTCTTTATTCTTACGATAGTTGATCCTTTTATTAACTTCTCAACACCTGAAGACTTGTACAATGCCTTCCTCTGGCTGGGATACTTCAATTCTACTTGTAATCCAATCATTTACGCTTTATTTTATTCTTGGTTTCGCAAAGCATTTAAAATGATTGTGACTGGTACAATCTTCAGACCAGAATCCTCTACTCGTACTTTATTTCCCACAAATACTTAGTTAGCCAGGTAGGGCTTTTATGAATGGATTAGCATTAATAGATGCATATGCTATTTCTGGAGATCTTTTAGAATAGGTCACATAGGGCCCTATATATTGACAACATTTACAAGAATCTGCACATGCTTTTTGGAGAAACAGTTACGTGTTGGCTGCAGCTTCCCGCAGCTCCCATTGGCCGGGAACGGTGAACCACTGCCATGGGGAGCTGCAGGGGGCTGTGCCTGCGGATGGTCAACATCCTCAAAATGACTCGCAAAATGTCTCATGGTCCACAATCAGCTTACCCTGTTGGGCCGCATGTGGCCTGCAGGCCGCAGGTTGCCCACCACTGCTCTATCGGTATTGTTTAAGGATTAGCATGCTATCTTAATGAGCTGTCTGTCTAGATAGTAGGAAGTGAGAGAACCGTCTGGCAAACTATACAGTACATTCTGTCCAGCTATGTTCCTGTATACACAGTGATCATTTTGACAACTACACTACAATATAATTTCTGTCCAAGTACCAGTTTGAACCTCCAAGTACAGTATTTAAGCATTAATTTATCTAGTTGCCCATGTTTGAAAATGGACGCCACACTTACTCCAATTGAGAATATCTTTCTCTAGTTCTCAGCATGAATAAGGGTAACAGGACTAAGCCCAAAGTATTTTCTCTGGTTGAAAAACTGATCTTTATCTACATAGAAGCTACCTAAGCTAGTCTCATACAACCAGTGAAAGAGTAACTAAGTCTCTAGCGGGAAAGTGTTCTGAATATTCATTGATTCAGTGTTCTGTTTGGGTTGTAGCTGCTGAGAAATCACCTCCTTCTCCATGCATTACCAAAGTAGCTGAGATCAGCTGAGAACCTTATGAGTCCCAAAAAACATGTGGGGGCTCGGTGGATGCCATGGGATGCTGTGAAAGGCCAAAATTATCACTGGGTTCAAAAAAAGAACTAGATATGTTCCTGCGGGGATAGGTCAATCAATGGCTATTAGCCAGGATGAGCAGGGATGCAACCCAATGCTCTGAGTGTCCCTAGCCTCTGTTTGCCAGAAGATAGGAATGGACGACAGGGGATGGATCACTTGATGATTATCTGTTCTGTTCATTCTCTCTGAAGCACCTGGAATTAGCTACTGTTGAAAGATCAGATACTGGACTAAATGGACCTTTTGTCTGACCAAGTATGGCTGTTTTTTGAAGTGGGGCATTTTTGAAGGAGGGCAGATGGTGGTGCCTAGGTTTGTTCTCTTTTACCGTCCAATCCAAAATCCACCTAGCCCCTGCCAGAGGACAAAGAAGATGTCTTGTGGAGAAGGGGTAGTGCTAGTTCATATCTGTCATACTAATTTTGTACTGATTATGAAACTATGTATCTTCATCCAGAGACAACAATGATAAGATAAAGTTTAAAAACTGGGAAAAAATTAAAAAACGGATAAAATGTCTTGTATTTAAGGCCCTACTTTATTTGTGATATTGCAGAAATTGCAGCTCCTGCAATATTAGGCTTCCCCTGCAATTTTATCAGCCACTGGGGGCTGACAGTGGGAGCCTCGGGCTGCTGATAGCCCCACTGTCAGCCCCCAGAGGCTGGTGACCAGGGTTCCCGTTGTCAGCTCCGCGCATGGCAATGCTTCTGTATAACCCCTCTCCAGAACATCCCCTTTGTTCCCTGCTGCCCCTGACATGGCTCCTGACCCTGGGGAGCCAGGAAGGAATGCAGTGAGGCTGGTTATACTGGCCTTTGTATACTTAGACATGTAAGGCTTGATTAGAGATAGGAGCTGCAGAGAGTTAGTTGTAGCTCCCCGATCTGGAGCTGCCCATCTCCAGTGCAAGTTATTTCTGTACAGAGATATTAAGCCACTGGAGGATTGGACATAATGGGGCTCTGCCCCCACCCCCACTGCACCCTCCCTCTCCTTATGCCAGGCATTGTGGGGAGGGGGCAGTCGATGCAGGAGGCAACTGTGCTACCCTTGCCAGCTTTGTGCCAATGCAAAATTTCCTTGTTTAAAGGGAACTCTAGGCTGGCCATTTCCAGAGACTTTAAGGCCACTTTGTGCTGCTTATACTTATGGAGGACAAAGCAGACTGGAGAAGCTGATCTTTTAGTCCTTGTTATTCAGGAAGTCTACCATTTTGCCCTTAATGTGCCATGCCACTAAGCATGTTAGCATCTTCTTTTTTCCCAGATTCAAAGTGACTTTTTAAAATAATTTCAGTGTTTAGTTTATACAGGGAGTGTGATTTGTCAGATGTATAACAATGTTTTAAAAAACCTTGAACACTGCTCAAGACATCAGACAGAGCTCAGGGAATAGACCTATAGAAGCTGTTTTTCTTTGAGGATTCACATGTGAGATTCATGTTCCCTCAGCAGGAAAATGCAGCAAAACAGCAAAGGGAATGAGTGAGCTCTGGGGAGAGGATATAACGGGTGTCTCATTAACAAACAGTCTTTTTGCAGAGTTTTCATGATCTTAAACACCCATAATTAATCTGACTTTTCTTAAGAACTTTTTGACTAAAGCTGTTTCACATAGAACTCTGTTAAATTCTGGCTCCCAAATAACTGGCAGAATGAGTACTTTATTATTATACAATAAGACCTTGAGTCCCAAGAATTGCCTGCAAAAGAAAGAGAATGCTGCATGACAATCTCTCTCCCGAATCTTTTGTATTTCCTCTGCTGGTCAGATTTCTGTAGTATTCGTCTAGCTGCTTGCATCCATAGCTGATGTGGAAGCTAACAGGCAATGCCAGTGCACTCATAGGCAGCAACTTCCTCTCTACCTCCCACCACCCGAAGCCCTCCCTCACTCCACCCTTTCCCCCAAGTCCCCACCCTGCCTCTTCCCACCCCTGCTCCACCCCCGCCCTGACTCTTCCCCGCCTCTTTCCGCCCCTCCCCCAAGCACGCCCCATCTCCACTCATCCCACACCCTCCCAGTGCCTCCTGCCTGTCGGGGAACAGCTGATTGCGATGGGCGGGAAGCACTGGGAGGGAGGCAGAGGAGTTGATCAGCGGGCTTGCCAGCGAGCAAAAAGTGCTGGAGGGAGCCGGGGGCGCTGGCTGCCAGTGGATGCTCAGCACCTGCTAATTTTTTTCCCATGGACATGGAGTTGGAGCCTGTGAGTGGACCGCTACCTCCTCCACTCCCTGCTTGCAGATTGGTTTTTAAAACTGTACTCTTTAAACATACACAACTGCTACCTATGCAGGCTAGAAGAAAATTAAAGAACACCCAAGCAATCTAAATACCTGGGGTATGAATCCTGGCTGAAAATATCACAAGAACAAGTTTTCTTTTTACCTATGTGTTACTTACTGTTTTGAGTTCTAATTCAGCAGAACAACTTAAGTGTTTGTTTAACTCAGTAGAACCGAACCTTGTGTTCAAAGTGAAGAACATGCTTTAGTGCTTTGCTCAGTAGGGATGGTCTCCTGAAGTGAGGCCTTGGATAGAGATAGGGATACAGTGAGAACAGTTTGCCTTGTGGTATTTCACTACTTGTATGTCTAGTTGTGGCTTGAATTTAGACATGCAGAGACACATGGTGTTATACCAATAGAATAAAAACCAGCAGGATCTTATTAAGAGGGATAAGGCAAAGATGCCACATTTATTGTAAATATACTGATAAAGCAAAAGATAAAAGTAAACAACATTGTTTGACTATTTATTTCTTATAGACACACACACACATATATATATATACATAGAGAGAGAGAGGTTCATTCACACAATCATTCATTCAAGTTCTGTCTAGGTGTTATAGTTACCAGGCTAGAAGTTGCTCATGCCAAGTTACTGGCCAGGTATCTTGGTCATGAGGATGGAGCCGAGTCTGTGTCAGGTGCACCTGATGCTCCTGGAGGTTGGCAGCAGAACCAGAGACTCAAAGTCATCAGTCTTTAGAGTCCATTCTTATCAGAATTAATTCCTATGTTAGTCTATGGGAACTGTTTCATCCTGCTGTTGCTGACTCAGAGTGGCACATTCCTGGTGGCTCCACACTGTCCAAAGTTTGTGTTTCTCATCCTTCC